CGGACAACCCCGTGACAATATCCGTTTTGTGCAGCTGTTGCAAAAATGCATAAAAAGCTGGCAATGAACAGCATGCAAGAATTTCAATAAAAATTCCCGTAAAGACATCAAACGCTGGCAAAACCAAATAGCAGAAAGCAGGAAATTCAGAATTCGAAGTAAATCAATGTATAAAAATGTTCTGTAACAACAGAAAGCATGCAACGACCAGGTATTAGTAAAAGATAGTTACCCATCGCAAGCCTCTTCGGACAAAAACCTGAATGAAAAAAATTTGCAACATTACTTTTATAGTCGAAGAAAAAAATTTATTTTGGAAAAGAATTTGGATGAAAAGCAGAGATAACAGGTGGTATTCAGAGCAACGATCCAACGATATAAGAAAAGCTAGGATACAGGTGATCTCAAATCCCCATGTCACCAGTTACACTATCTGTTAACGGCACCTTCGAGAATTAACATTACAGTGGAATTTTTATCCATTCACTTAGATCCTGATGTGAATACCACCATCCGAAACAATTAATTTTGTCCTTGAAATCAGTTTGTTTCAAAACGGCTCGACCGAATTCAGTCACATTCGAATTAGGTTAAATTTAGTTCAGTTTTCCGTCACACTGATGCAAGCTAAATTCCCAATTCACCTATCAAAACAGGACACGATATTCATTACTTTCTTCGGTTCCAAGTCACGCTTACACCAGTAACGACTCTAGTATTATTTTTTTAACAAATAATATCCTTTCATAAAAATTGTCATTAATTAGCAAAAGCTATGTAATGGCAAATTTCCTTCAGCAATCTTTAACTCGGATCTCACAAATTAGAAATGGGTGCAGAGGAAAAATATCGAGGAATTAAATTTCAAAAAAAAAATTTTTTTTTTTTTTGAAGACCTACACTCACACAACGCCGTGCCCTATCAAGCTAATTCTTAAAGTCTGTTATCAGCGAGCATTGAATCGGCTTGGTAAGGTAATCGCGAAAATAAGCTCCTCGGTTAGAAAGAGAACTTACTTCTCGAGTACAGCGGCATCCAGCTGCTCGGCGATTTTTTGGCTGCTTAATCGCAAAACACGTAAGTTTGCACTGAGTGTATGGAATAATTCGCAAGTGAATGCAACTAATGGAACGTCGGGTGATGCAGCCACAACCGCGATAGTGTGCAAATTCTGCAATATAAACTCGTCATTACGTTAAAACTTTGGAAAATGAAAAACCGAAATTCAGTGTCTTCCAAAACAGTCAAGTCGGCCTGCGCTCCAACAAGGTCCTGCACAAAAGACAAATCTAGCACAACAACGATAATGACTTATTCGGAAGTTATAGTTTACAAATAAAAAGAGGTGAGCAACATGAGCCTAGCACCATTATGTGTATTTGTCGCAACATGCTGTGAGTACTCAAGTGGCAAATTTGATTCAACGATTATAAGAAAAACAACATGATTTTGGATTCGAACTTTTTGTTTTGAGCCTTTAACATCGTCAAGCATTTATGCGTTCATAGGAGGATTGCGCATGGAACAGGAATATGCTCTAAAATTTCAGCTTCTCTAAAATTCCAGATTCCCAGGTTGAAGAGTTGAAAGTGTGTGACAAAGTTCACTCGCATTCGAATACACACGCACACATATATCGGTATCTCTTGACAATATGCGTTTTTTGCATCTATGCAATGCAGAAAACGCATATTGACGATGAGTCGTCTGTGTATATGTTTGTCTGTATGGGCGTCTGTACCGATTTTTCACCTCGAAACTTATAAAAGCTACAAGGCTGAGACTTTGGAAACTTAGTCTACATGCACATATGAGCTCCCACCCCCAAAATGGGCGCCTCCCGGGCGCACCAATGTTTTTGACGAGTAAGCTGTTAATTCGAGAAACAGAAAAGCTAGAAAGCTGCAATTTCAAGAGGGTGTTTCTTGACATTCTGGCGGCCAGTCTCATTTCGCTTAGCTAGAAGCATCTGCCGGAAAAACCGATGCCGCCAACAACAAAAACCTGCGGGAAACTATGCAAAAAACACATCCCTGCACCGGCAGCCGGTGCGCTGGCCATTTATTCCACTGGCATGAATATGTAACGCATAAAGCCAGATTACCTTGATATGGCTCTGAGGATCACTTGTAGTCGTTGAAAGGCCATCTTTGTAGGCACATCTA